CCTGGGGGAGACCCATGAAACTAATTCGTGAAATTGTCGAGTTTCCATGAGAACAGCTCATATATTTCGCAGACAACAAGGTGCTCAAATAGTTGTTCATAATTGGTGAAAGCCCACTATCGTGGAGTTTATCCGAAAGGATAAATCGATACAAATAGAATCAAAAGCCTCCTTAATGTCCAAGAAAACTGAGCCCATTTGCTGTTTTTGCGTATAGGCCAGTTGAATTTCAGTTAAAAGCAACGCAAGACAGTCGCTCGTTCCTTTGCCTCTCTGAAATCCAAATTGCGTATCTGAAAGTAGACCATTCGACTCGGCCCATTTGTCTAGATGAAAAAGGATCATTTTCTCCAACAATTTCCGTATAAAGGACAGCATCGCGATGGGACGGTACGATGCATAATCCGACGCGGGTTTACCTGGTTTTTGAATAGCGATAACCCTTACCTGCCTCCAGTCATCCGGAACAATGTTGTGCTCCAGAAATTGATTGAATAAGTTCAACAAGCGTCTCTTCGCGACGTCTGGGAGATTTTAAGCAAGTTGAACTTGATTCTATACATTCCTGGAGCTGAGTTGTTACATGAGAGGAGCGCAGAGTCGGAGAATTCCACCATCGAAAACGGGGAATCTATTTCGTTACTACACGAAGGACGATCACGAAGGTTGGTTTGAACCGACACCGAATCCGGGCAAACTTTCCGCGCGAAGCTGAATATCCAACTGTCTGAGTACTCCTTGTCTTCGTTGACCGGTGATGACGCGTTTCGCATTGTCCTGCCGTCATTCCAGAGTGTTCTCATGGAAGTCTCTTGCGACAAACCACAACAATATTCATTACGTAACACGTTCAATTTACGAAATTAGTTGAAAAGTGTCAATTATGTCTTCTATACGTTTAAGGCTATATGAATCTAACAATGCTTTTTGTTTGTTACAGAGTCCCCTGAACACCGGAATGGTCACCCAGGCGAGACTGATAGGAGTGAGCATGTTCTGGAGCATCCTAAGTCTTGTTTTCACAGTTGCTGGACTTCGCAGTGGTTACATTTTCATGGTTCTACAGCTATGTTCATTGGCATTTTCCATTCTAACAGCTGTCGGCCGACTCCAGAGAACGGTGCGAAAATGGGTATTCGCTCATCTACTCTTCCAGTTCATTGCTGTCGCTTGTACTTCATTTTACTATATAGTTTTTGTGAACTTGTTTGTCCCGATCACTGGACGGGCGGGAAGAGTAATCAATCCAGATGTTATAATTGGTATCGTTGCTGCCATAGGAGTACTGCTAAGCTGTAGCTACTTCCTACCGTTGATGACCCTCGTGAAAAAACCACTGCAAATAACGGCTAGCTTTTCTGCTGTATCGTTGATTGCATTATTACTTGCATGCTTCACCCCCATTGGCTTTCCGTACCGAGATGCAGCGGATGGACATCCTACTACTCAACGACATCTTGTGACAGTATGTATTCTAAAAATTAGATGGAAACCTTTCAAATTGTTTCGATTTGCAGCATACGTTCCGCATATTCCATGACGAGATTGGACTTTTGAAACATATGGACCACGGCTTCCTATTTGAAGTACAAGACCGCAATGGTGGACGGACCTTACAGCAGTACATTGCATCTGGCGACGATAGTTTCGTCCCGCTGGATAAGATGGATACTTGCTCCAGTGACCTGTTCTGTGCCATCCCGCTGGACGCAATGTGGCGACAAACACATTTTGAGTAAGTTCTTGTGTATAATTCTTAGCAATCTACATCATCAACTGAATGGTTTTAGTCACTACTGGAAACCAGCTCAAGGACGTCCCGAGACGCATAATATGTTCACACTGGGATACGAAGAAACCAAACAACTTAGCGAGCGGGTAAAAAGGATAACGTTTAAGGCGGAAGGTAGCTTGCAATTTGCTCGATTTTCGTAGGAACTAAACCAGGTGTAAAACTGGCAGCGTGGAGCTTGCAAGATGTTATTCCACCGCCGGTAAAGTTCAATGGCCAGGAAGGATATTTCGTTTTCATTACACATGGCCTACCCAGCGGACCATGGAACATCACGATGGATTTCGAGGTAGTAATCAATTAACAAAATCAAAAATTGAAAACTATAACATTTGTTTTAATTTTATAGACGGAAAGTAATGATTATGAAGGATTTTTGGCTGAGTTTGGAGTTGTTACGAAGCTGTGGGAATACCATGACATGCATACTGAAGAATTCACACAATTATTGCAGAAATTCCCTACATGGGCTCATGTCGTTCCATCGGTAGCTGTTGTCAATATGCTCTTATTGTAATGAAGCTTTAGAAAGAAAAATATAATTCCATAACATCACAAAATGTATATGAATCCACTTCAAAAGTCTCTTCTTTATAGAAATAAATTTGTTTTTTTTTAAAGTAAGATGACTGTACAATTGGTTGGTATGATAAGTCATCTTTGCAAATTTATACAAGGAAAAATCCTAAGAAATATTATACCGTTTAGTTTCGATTTAAGCAGTATGTCTGCAATGTATTTTGCTTGTGCTCTGCAGCTTAAAACCTCAAACTCTTTTTAATATTTGACTTAGACTTTCCGGACAATTATGAAGCTTAGCACAGGTTTGTAATTATAACAATTTGCGGAAAGTAAACAAATCCTGTTTTACCATAATCGAACTTTTACTGTATATAATAGGTAATGTTGGATAATTCATGGTGAATAATTAAAAAAACAATTAATAGAACATTCAGAGGTATTTGAAGTTATGCTAGAGAAATTGGTGGAAGATTCAAAGGCTCTCGGTTATCCGTAAGCATAATTATTATATACTGGTGTTATTTACATACAATTACCTACTTCTAACTGTTGTTAGTCGCATCAGTATGAACCTAACAAAAAGACACTTAATTTGTGAAAAATTGTAGGAACTTATCATATGAAAATTTCAAGATATTTTCTTTTGTATTCAAAGGTACATTTTGCAATGCGTTGTAGAAAATATGCAGGTGAATAGAATAATAGTTTTATGAATGGCCATATCTTCCGTTACACGCATAACAGTCCCATGTTCTGTGCAATCATTTTTTGCCGTGGGATACTTATTAACGACAGTGATAGTTTTTCATAATCACCAAAATTCACTTTTGAGTCTCTTGCTGCTGGATTGAACTTTCGATAAAAAGACATTCATTTAAAATATAAGTATCAACATATCTAAACATGGTACTCACCGGCCAGCTTTTGTCGCTCCCGATCACTACAGGACGCTAGGGGGGCGTAAGCCGATAGGGACGAATAGCTCTCTGTCCTATCGAATGTCTCCCGGATAGATGCCAGTGAGGGAGATTTACTAATCGGAGTGCCGACCAGCGAGTCTTCTTCACTGGTGCTACGTATAAACAGCTTTTCACCACTCATTTCGCCACTATTTTTGCTTCAACGAAGTCGCTTAGGCTACACTGCACAATCAATCATAAACAACACTGTGACTGACTACACATAAATAGCACTTTTTTACTTATGCTGCTTTTTTATCAACTGTGACGGATTCAATTAGAAAAAAAAATCACTAGGTGTTATGCTTCGCACTCACAATATATTTCGAGCTGAATTTTACTTTCTTTAATTATTATCAAGAATGGTAATAACTTTTCCAACTGAAACACATTTTTGCATAAATTAGCACTAATTTGGGGATCTTTTTCACAAAACTATCACCTACCAAAATATTTTCATACGAACAGAATCACAACAAACACTAACCTGCCACTTGTCAGATTTGCGAGCTTTTGCTTGCTCTTTTTCTTTATCTTATTCGCTATTATGCGAAGCGCCGCCTTACATGCTCAAATACAGTGAGACCAAAATAATCTGAAATTTTAAGATTTGTATCATGCTATTTCAAAATTCAGTGTAAACATTTCAAAGGGGCGTAATTGCATTTGTAAATAATGGTTTAAGCCTTCGATTTCTCGTGAATAAAAGCTCACTCATGAAGATTAATGGCACCAGCAGATAGATGAATGTTACCTTTACCAGCTAGCATTGTTAATTTGGAGGGATGGGCTTATATTTGCGAGATATCGATAACTAAAGCCATTGTTTACAAAATCAATTAAGTCGCTTTGAAATGTTGGCACTGAATAATCCAAATTTTAACTGTTTTTACTGCTATTTATTGGGTGTCCAGCAATTCGTTTATGTTAGTTGAATTTTTCGGTGAAAATGATCGTTTGCTGTTTTTCAGTAAACATTAGTTTGCTGATCATAAGCCAGCAAACCGATTACTGATATTGAAAACTTAAATTTGGTGTGCAGAAAGTCTCCAACTTCTCATGAAAGTGGATATTCAAAGGTCATTCAAATATTATTCTGGCATAAAACTGATTTCGATTACTTAATAATAGACTACTTTTTCAACATTTTTAAATATGAAGTCAAAATCTTCATTTCTATAGCAAAAATCTTCACATGTCCGCCTAAAATGCAAATAGCTTTCGGTTAGTCTTCATCAGTTTCAGCATGTCTTCAAACATCTGCAACGATAGTGCCATGTAGTGCTGCGCTTGAACAAACGTGTAACTAAAACATTGATAAGGAGTGAATTCACTGAATTTATATTGCTGATTGCTCGGCTGATTGCATCTAAAACTGGACTGCCAAAAAATACAAAAAGTGTGATAAAAGTGCACGTTTCGGTCAAATCGTTTTGTTGCATCGAAGCACTTATTGCTTGGCTCATAAGGAATAAGTGCACTGAATACACCAAGACAATTAGATGGAAACTTGCAGTTTTGTCACAGTTTTTAATAAAAAAAACGCGCTTAATAGACCAGTTTGGTGTGATGTGCGCATTATATTGTCTTAAAGTTGGTAGTAATTTCTTAAGTCCGTATTTTCTACCGTATTTTGATAGTGAATAAATTCGTTTGTGCTCTGATGTTCGGATCAAAAACAATATTTTTCACAAATATTATTTGGCAGAATTTTATTTTAACATAAATTCATCCATGGAAGGAAAAAAAAAACTAATAAATTCTTTACAGCTTGGACTTCAAACCACCCATCAGTTTTTCAAGCTTCATCGCCTTTTGCAAATCTCCCGAAATTTTCAACTTTCCAGTCATGAATGCACTAGCTGGTTTCAACTTGCCGCTGAACATATCGAAAAAGTGCTTCGAATCCATGGTGAGGGTAGCATCTGCAGTAATTGGTGACTTTCCCTTGCCAACCTTTCCGGGATTGTTCTTCAAATCGGCAAACCAAAGTCCAGCTTCTTCTCCTTTCACATTAAACTCATACACGGCTCCAGTTTTCTTGATAATTTCATCACTCAAGAGTGATTCGATTTTTTGGAATAGTCCTTCGATTTTACCAGAGGCGGCGGCTGGTTTTTTCAATGACGCGGCATGGCTTCCTTCAGCAGCAAATTCCACCAGTTTTTCCGGGGCAACATCGAGGAAAAAGTCCGGCATGAGCTTATCAGCATTTTCCGGTACGCACGCGTACTGCTTCAAGTCAGTGATGCCAGCAGCCTGCAAAACTTCGTCGTCAATGAGGAAATTTCCTGTGCAGTTCTTGGGTTCCTTGCACAGGACGGCGTAAGCGGCATCGCTCATGATTTCCGGTTTGCGAGAGAATTGATCACTCCCTTCGCCCGTCAGCATTTCCATAGCGGCTGTGAAAATGGCAGTGCGTGGCCACAAAGCATTAACAGCGATATTATCGTTTTTAAACTCGCGAGCCATGCCCAGAACACACATAGACATGCCGTATTTGGCCATCGTGTAGGCCACGTGGTTGCTGAACCAATGCGGGTTCATGTTCAACGGTGGGGAAATGTTCAAAATGTGAGCGTGATTACTCTTCTTCAGGTATGGAATGCATTCCTTGGAGCTGTAATAGGCAAAGATTTGTGTTTTAAGTAAAAAAATACCAATGTTATAATAAGCTAAAACAACTTACACTAAAAACGTTCCGCGAGTATTGATGTTGTGCATCAAATCATATCGTTTCATGTCAGTCTGTTCTGTAGGGGTGAGTGAAATGGCGCTGGCATTGTTGATTAAAATGTCAATTCCACCGAATTTCTCCACTGCATTCTTGACAGCTGACCGAACGGCATTCTCGTCGCGGACATCCACCACGCAAGGTAAAGCTTTACCACCAGCGGCCTCAACTGTAAGTAAACAATGCATTTTACAGATTACAAAACTTGAAAGTAACACTTGAGAACTCTGAACTAAAATAAATTCGATGGTCCCAGACAGAACTAAATAACTTAGCATTGATTTCTGTCATTTGAAATATTATTAACAGTATCATTTGAATAATAAAACAGTATAATTTAACATTATTGTATAATCACAAGTACATGATAGTAGGTTTTAGAGATTTTTTGTTGGATCACCCTAGTTAAACTATTTTCAAAAATTTTATATTTGGTCATTTATAAATAATTCATAGCAGTTCATTGAAATTCGAGTTGAAATTCTTCCAATAAGTTTCTTTTTACATTCGGTATATACCCAAAAAATACCAGAGTTGGGAGGAAATGCTATGCTAATATCAACATGAAGTTTTAGTGCGGTAATTTATTAGCTAGAGAATGTTCTGAAGTTCCGCTACTAGTTCTGCCGAAATGCTATCGGCAACGTAGGGCAAGAAATATTATGATTCACGAAAGTTCAACCCCTTATCGACGATCTCTGAACATTGCTGTAGAATGTTTTTTGAACTACTCAAATGAACAGAAGTTTAATGTTCTGTCTCAAGGACCAAACCATGTTTGTTTATTAAATGTTGGGTATAATCGAAGACAACACATCAAGAAGACTGGCAACTCATCCTTTTTCTCATACGAACGCTATGAGACAGGTACAATCGCGTCATCTGCCGCTCAAAGGTAAATGCTTCGAACGAATTTGATAGCAAAGATTACATCCTCAGAAGAAAGGTTTGTGTATTTGCTCATTTTTCTATGCGTTGCTTCCACCTTCACTCATGCTCAGCGCTATTGATGAAATGAAAATGAATGTGATGAGATCAAATTTGTTCGAGAAAAAAATCCGTTTTTTATTGTTAAGATGCATACCAACCCCTCTTTTTTACTGTAAATTTCTCATGTATTTAGGGGGAAATGGATGTAAAATAAATTCAGCAATCGACTCAATTTTCAATAGCGACCAAAAATATCCATTAGTACCGTCCCAATGACGCGTTCAGCTAGATAAAATTGAAAAAGCCTCCTCCATTGTTGTGAACCAAGAATTTCGTTGTGATTTTATGGTAATCAACAAAAATGTCCAATGTTTTGACAGTAAATATCATGGTTACAATGATAATGAAAATCATTGTATTTTTATTGGATTTTTTTTTACGGGTTGAACAATTAGATTCGGCACAGCTTGGGCACATCCATCGGCATACCTTTGGCACAATCTTGTAGGCATTAGATTGTTGTAAATGAAATGGGACCACTGCTGATCACTAAAGTTGTTCACAACATTACGTGCTGTTTGGCTGTATATTCAGGAACATCCTCAAATTATTAGTTGCGGAAAAGGGGTCTTCCAACCCGTTCACTATGGCGAGTATCCTCTTGGTAATAGTAATGTTCGTTTGCTTACTGTACACCCCCCCCCCCCTTCTCTTCCCGTGATTTCCAGTGACATCGCTCCACCTAGCACGGATGTACGCCGAAAACAGGATATCATCATGTACTATCAAACCATCGGCGGAATGAATTCTGACGTTTACGAGTACCTGTTAGTTGTATCGGATCGTTATCATGATGTAATAGAATTAACCGAGAAATGGCTGGACTCTCGAACGCTTTCCAGCCCGAGGGGGACAACTCTATCTACGATGCAGGAAATATTGTGTTTTGCTGTGGCTAGCTGAGTAGATAAAAAGAAGATTTATCACGATTTTGAAGATTTCCTGCAAAAAGATGATGCGCGATGCAAGTAGATGCGAGAAATGAAAATAGATTTTTCGAAGATTTATTCGCTAGTGTGAGATTTTTGGAGCATCTAGAATTGAGATTTAGATGTGTCGACCCCCTCGTTCCAGCCGGCGTTCGGATGTGAGTACGAGGTATTTCGCTGTGATCGAAACCCGATCAATAATGAAAAGTTCACTGGTGGCGGGGTTCTGATTGCTGTTCGATCCGAGTTGAATGCTAGAGCCATAGAGCACGACATGTGGAATTGCGTTGAACAGACATGGGTACCTGTCAAGTTGAGCGATCGCACACTCTACTTATGTGTGATATACATCGCACCCGACCTAGTTCGCGACATTGAACGCATCGAAACTCATTGTCGATCCGTTTTCACCATAATGGATTGTGCGTCACCTATCGATGAGATTATTGTTCTGAACGACTTTTATCTTGCTGGTGTTTCGTGGAAACCTTTCCACAGCGGCCTTCTTTTTCCAGACCCCGAAGGTTTTGCTTTCCATTCTGGATCAGTTAACCTTCTCAACAGCTATTGTGCAGTGACGTTATCTCAAATAAATCCCGTGGTCAACGAGAACGATCGTAGCTTAGACCTCTGTTTCGTAAGCGCTCAGCATACGTCGGCTCCTTCTCCACTCGTAAAGGAAGTTCCTCATCATCCTCATTTGGTTATTACTGTTGAAGACAATAACATCCAGGATTTCGAAGACATCTCCTCAACGGTGTCTTACAATTTCCCGAAAGCCGATCATCATCGTCGATGTGCTGTCGAGTATTGATTGGGAAAACATACTCTATCCCGATAACGTCGAAACCGCGGCTCAAACTTTTTCACATGTCTTGGCTTATCTCTTTTACCAGACATGGCCCTAGGCGCGTTCACCAGATTGCGTCGCAGCTCCCTAGGCAGACGAACGAATTGAAAAAGCTGAAATCGATCAAGAGAGCCACGTTGGGGAGATTCACTGAATACCGCACGATGTCGCTGAAACGTTACTACGTTAAGCTCAATTACTAGTTCAAGCGAGTCAGCCGTCGATGCTACTTGCATTATCTGCGAGGGATACAAAGGAAATTCAAGTCGCACCCGAAGTCTTTCTGGAACTACGTGAAGAAGCAGCGCAGAGAGTTCGGTCTACCATCATCCATGATATTGAACGGCGAAGTCGCTTCCACTCCGCAGGAGGTCTACGGCTTGTTCTCCTACAAGTTTGCAAGCTAGTTTGCAAGTGTCTTCTCTGACGAGAGCTTAATCAACGAATACGTGACCCTAGCAGCGAGCAACCCCTAATGAAATTGGTATGGTTATTTTGCTTAACGACGTGTTTAGGGTATCATCCAAACCATTTGTGAAATAGTTCGACCATTTGGGTTATCGTTCGAGTATAGTTTTTTTTATTAGGGACGTCCCACTTTCCGGTCATTTTCGCAGCTACGTCAGGAATACCTCAAGGAAGTCATATGGGACCGTTGATGTTCTTACTCTACTTCAATGACGTGAATTTAGTTATTGAAGGTCCACGACTATCGTACACAGACGATCTCAAAATCTACTCACGGAACCGCTCAATCGATGATTGTCAATACCTACAACGTCAGATTGAAGCATTTGACAGATGGTGCCGTTTGAACCGAATTACGGTGAATCCTGCGAAATGTTCAGTCATCACCATTACTCGAAAGCAGTGCTGAGATTTGCAATTGTATTTGACAGACTTTCGCGCGATATTGACAAAATTGTTTTTCACATAGCCACTGATAGACTTGATCCTCCAATATTGAACGTGTGAGTCATGTAAAAAATCGAGGTGTCATCCTGGACTCACAACTTACATACACAGCAAAAAATAAATTTTAATATTACATCCAAGAGGATGCACTTCAATCATGTCAAAAATATAATGTAATTTTTATAGCCACACAAATAAACAAATGCAGTAAAAGCAACGTAATGTCAGTTCATGCACTGTATTAATGCTAATTTTGCCTTTTTTCGCATGTAATATTACACCATATTTTCGACACAATTGTAGTGCATCCACTTTGATGTGATATTAAAATTAATTTTTTGCTGTGTACAAGCAATACACAGAAAAAAAAGTTGTTGAATATTACATCCAAACTGCTGCAACCAGGCCAATCCAGCGGTTGTGTAATATAACGTTGTACGATGTACATCGATTTTGCGAACAAAATTACATCCATTGATGTAATATTATATCTGCTTTTTGCTATTACATCATTATTTCATACATCAGCTTGAATTACATTGATCGATATTACATTTATTTTTGCTGTGTACATCTCCTACGTCGTAGACAAGTCGTCAAGGACATTGGGCTTTATCTTCAGAGAACTAAGAATTTCTCCGACATCCATTGCCTCAAGTCACTGCATTGCTCACTGGTACGGTTCATTCTAGAATATTTTTCTGTGGTTTGAAGTCCGAACTACAACAATGGTACTGAGAGAGTCGAGTCCGTTCAACGCCGCTTTCTTTGATACGCTTTGAGAATGTTACCTTGGAGAGACCCTTTTCATTTGCCCAACTATTGTCGTTTTCGTTTTTGCGGTGTAGCTACACCGGTGCTACACTGCCGTACACCGAAATAATTTAAGGTGTAGGAGCTGCCAGGTGGTTTATAAAAATCTGTATCCACTCTATTAAAAAATCTATATTTTCTGTATTGACGATTTTTTTCTTAATTAATCATGTTTTGTTGTTTTACAAATACAGTGCATACAAAATAACCATAAAAAGTGCTTAACCACCTATTCGGGCTATTGTACTAACCATACGGGATATAATTGCGCCATTTGTGATATCGTCCGTACTTATTTATAAGAGTGATATGTAGCCGTTTGAAAATGTATGGAGATTTTAGTTTCTATTCATTATCTTCCTGAAAAGCAGTTTTAAATGCAAAAAAGTGCACGAGTTCATTACTATTTGATATTTTTAATATAGATGAATACAATTAATTACATCATTTGTGTGGTAGTTACACCGAAAAGTCGAGAGATGTCGCCCCGCCAGTGCTGGTAAAATATTTTTTGCAGTATGGAGAATATCAGAAAATCCGCAATTTCTTACGAAATACATTTTCAATGCGAAACTACCGTGACGGGCGTGACTGCGTTTTCCGTTGGAGGGAGCATAAAAGAAACAGCAACGCCTCGAGCAGATCCCACTGCAAAAAATATGGTTTTTAGCACAACAATTAATTTTGGAGAGAAGGGGGTACGCTGATAAAATCGAGCAAGTTATTTTGTTTTTATAAATTTTGATTTTTTTTTTTCTCAAGCATTTTATAAAAATCTGTATAAATCTGTATTTTATTTAAAAATCTGTGATAAATCTGTATTCTGTATCGGATCTGTATTAAGATTAAAAAATCTGTATAATACAGATAAATCTGTATAAATGGCAGCGCTAGGATGCACCTTTGTTTACAAACAAAATGATGTTGAGCTGTCAAAGACGCTTATTTCTGCTTATACACTACACCGGTGCTACACCGCAAAAACGAAAACGACACATGAAATTCGCTGCCAGCTGATTGACTTGCAGCCTCTTCGCACCAGAAGAGATAACTCAAAAGCTCTGCTTGTCGCGAACACGTTACATGGCAGAATTGATTGCACCGAAACCTTCGAGCAAGTAAACATGAATGTCCAACTCCGAATGCTTCGTAACAATGTTATACTAAGAACGCCACTACGTCGGACAAACTATGCAATCAACGGTGTAATAGGCGGACTGCAGCGAGTATTTAACCGAGTTTTATCAGTATTCGACTTTCACCTGCCACGACAAACACATCGGAGACGTTTCTCTTCATTCTTCTTTAGAAATGTAAATCGTCCTCGTCAATGACCATGTTTTAATGTTTTGTAGTTTTAACTTATGACTTACTTAAATTTTATTTTAAGTTTGAGTTTAATTTTAAGACATCATTGGGACCATATCGAGTCTGTTGATGTTGACGAATAAATAAATGACTAAATAGACTAAATATAAACTAAATAATACATTTGTAAAATCAACCCCGAACCTTGTTAGTAATGAAAATTCAAAAATTAGATCAATAGGAATCACATTGGTGAAGCCTTCTTTGAAAAATAATATGTTATTTGACTGATAAAGTTCTAAAGTGTCAAAGAACATGTTTCAAAGAAGGGTGTATTTGCGACAACGAAACATAGCAGACATGGAATTTTCACGCAAAGATTGACACTTTGGTTACGGGATTTTTCGGTGGAATGACTGAATAATAAAAATGCCGCCATGTTTCACGCATTCAGTAACGTTTGGTTACGGGATTTCCCCATAGAAGTATTGCAGAAGTTTCGGAGACGCAGATTCTTTAGAAGATCATGATATATCATTGAAAGCAGGATCTACAGAAAAAGGAAGAGAAACTCAAGCAAGTATATCATTTGATTCCGGAAAAAATTGATTCCAGGGACAAGCTTTTCGGAAAGCTTTCCCGGTAATGACCTAGTGGGCATTTGATTTCCTGTGAGTAGTTTTCCGGGTAATGTCGTAGAATCCACCGTAATAATTCAAGGTGTACATATCAATGGCACCTTTGTTTACAAACAAATTATGTTGAGTTGTGAATGACTCGCACTTATTGCCGCCTACACCACAAGAACAAAAACGGCATTAGTCAGAGAAGCGAAGTGATCGGCAAGCGTCTAGAATGAGCTTCCAAAAGAAGCTTTTTTTTATATATTCTTAAGCAGCTTCTTTTACAATCTTCTTTAGAAGCTTCCTCTTTCGATTCTTCATTTAGAAGCTTACCCGTCGCTCCACTCCTCAAACTAAAACAACGAGCAGGACAGTAAATCTGAAAAGCTACGCAGTAAGGAACACTTTCCAAGGTTTATGGAGCATTTTATCGTTTTAATGTTACAAAAATGAGTTTGTCACTTGATAATTGCAGAACATTTAATGATTAGATTTCCGTAAAATTTATACGTTTATCGGTTTGAAGCTATTTTCATGGAACATGGACTCATGACTACAATCGAGCTTACACAAACTTTTTTTGAATTAATTGTGTTCTGTTAATATGCTGCAGTTGGACATAGGGTTAATTACCCCATTTCCGGCCTATCAAGCACAACCCGCACTTAGTCTTTCTTAATCTAGCACAGTTTAGCACCAAACGGAATGTTATTATTACGGATGGCTTCCAAATTTATTTACCTTTCCGTATGTACCGTATGATTTGATAAAGAGAAACCAGTCGTTGAGATATTGTCAAAAGTCTAACACTGCTTCTTGACGCCAAACTCGGCCTACGGATTCTAAACTCGGCCTAACGCATTGAAACGCTAATGAATTCACTTCGGCCTATCGGATGAAGATACAAATTGATTCGAAGCGCTTCTTTTGTATTTGTTAATAATGGGTGCAAACCTTCATATCACGCGTTCTCAGTGACTTCGTTCCGTAGCTTATAAATTAAAGTATCGTACCAAACGCATAATTGACTTGTTAGCTCTGAAATCATGGATTTATTTGAAGTTTTCTGCTCGATAGGCCCAAAATGATTAGGCCGAAGTAGTTCTCTATCCTATAACAAATCAGCACATATTCAAGTCTTCAGTTGGTTGTCTCTATACATAACAGTGCCATAATATAAACAAATACGGTGGATTTTTCATCGTATACCCGTTGGCGTAACTGAGGAAACATCATTTAAATTTTAAACTTCTCAATTAGGCAATTAGCGAACAATTTTGAACTGTAAGGAAAATAAGTAATTGTAGTAACAATTCTAGATGTATACCTTGTTATTGGGCTTATGACTGTGCGGTATAGCGTAATTGTAAACGCATAAGAGTTCTTCTACATTTCAAAGATTCGGTGTAGCCATTGCAGGACCAAGGCAGCAGTAGTACTTCCAGTTCCCTAGCAGTCCATGTCCCATTGTCTCGTGCACCATAAGCTCATTTATCAGTACCTACCAACACTTAAGCTTTTAGGATTACATGTAACCTGATAAAATATTTATTATACAACTAGGCATCCGAATTACTCACTCTCAGCCGCAGCAGTGTATATTGTTCCCGGTAGCTTCGGATGTGGTTCGGCTGTCTTAGCTGCTACGACAATATTGGCACCATCCTGAGCTGCCTTGAGGGCGATTGCCTTGCCAATACCTCGAGATGCACCGGTGATGAAAATAGTACGACCAGCTAATTTTCTACAATATAAAATGAAAATCGTATGTCAGATTATTTCAGCAGAATTTCCAAAACCAGGTAAAGTTTAAATATTAGCATAATTGATACAACAGGTAACCGGTTTCGATGTTTTCATCGGTAAAGTGAGGCAAGGAGACGCACCCCGTGTTCTTCATGTTTACTTTAGTGGATCTATCTACTAGCTAAATGACGTGTCAACCGGTGGAGTCCAAATGAGATGAGCTACTTTCTTCGTTGAAACTTTCCATACTGAACAATCTGACTGACCTTTAGACTCAAAAACAAATACTCACGGCATGGCTATCGTCATTGAGGTTTATTATCGTCGCTGATATGCGAGTAGATTAAAAATTGCTCAATCATTGGAGTAGAAGTTATTTTTCTAAGATACTGTTACATATTGAATATGGGCATAAGTCTTAACTATCTGTTTGATTAGATCCTACTTACCCCGTATTTATCATTTTGAATGAAACCCTTAACAATTTAGACGTACAAAAATAATGGAACACTTAAGAATTCAACAGAATGAAACACAAATGCAACTAATTTCGAGTTCAGTGACACAAGGCACAAGGCACGACTATCGTGTCTCAGCTCAGTACGGTACTGATGCTATAACTTTCAATCAAAACAGCACGTAGATACGAGAGATCCTCCTTTGCTCAGAGCTACGGTACAAAGTTCACTTCCACACGATTCCGGCCGTGAATTTCGAAGTTTTTCTGATTGAGGTAGTCGATTCATTCGGATTTGTTCATTAATTTATCCGAAATACCCTTGTATTGGTGTGATCACTACTGCGTAACGTGTAGTAACCGCACAGTTTTTAACCCTGCAACGACCGACATATCATGTGCGCAATGATCGTGGAAATTGACGTTAAACTTCATAATGGTTCTGAACTTTCCATATAAACCTGTAGAATATATCCAGAAACGAAGAATATCACACGTGCTACGGGATGATTCACGTCTATAATGTCACACTTGGAAATTTACCACAGTGTCAAATTAAAATACGTTCAAATAAAAATTCTTTCCAGAAAACCTTGGCAAGAATAATGTAACTTCTAGTACATTACAGTGACACCAAAATAAACAAAAATTTTCATATTAAATAATTGAATGATTTGAGTCACGCGAGAAGCCACGGAGTGCGAATTCAATTTACTTTGTAGTTGGGTAAGCGTTTCGATGTAGGAAATGTCTCTACTTGTCTACCTTTTTGTGCTGCTCGGTATCTAGGCACACGTATGAAATGTGATAGAATTTAATCATATCTTCATCAACATTTTCAAAATGATACAAAACATCAAATCTTGGTCAATATTTCAAAAATTATATGGCATCGATATAGAACATTTTGACTGGCTACAGCCTAGTATGAATCAATCGAATTCTCAGTTTCAAGTTGTGAGTTAGACGCAGTGTTTAACCTTTCAGTACTTGCACCAACTTTTATAAGCCGAGCACTCGCACATTGTACAAAATACAACTGTATGTTATTTTCTCCTCATGAAACCTAATATTCTCTAAAATATTCATCAAGTATTGGTATATAGAACATGGGTATTAAATTTCATGAAACATGTTTAGTCTTACGTTGAGCAAGCTCCAAAGTCGGTAGGCTTAAAAAAAAATCATGTTGTACTTTGTACAACGGTGCGAGTGCAAGGCTACGGTGCGAGGTTAAAGACAATAAGTAATTTATTTCGAAGTTTGATTTACATTTGAAACTTTTATTAACGTGTTGAAGCAGATAAATGACATAACATATCTTGCGGTTGAATAAAAAATATCAATACTATCCCAGCATGCTTAATTTAGCAATAGTTTCCATCATCAAATCCGATAGGAGTGATCCCGCCAGTGGAGGATAAACCAGTTTTGCGGTAGGGTGGGTGAGCCAGTAATGGAGGTACTAAGCCAATTTATTATTTATCAAATATACGATGTACACACAATTGTTATACGTCAATCTATAGCTTTCAAATAGGCTTTCAACCTCTATTTTGATAGAAAAATATTACATTGTAATAAAATTGCATAAAATTTTAGAAAGATCGTCCGAAAGATTAATAGGAACACTGTTCCAGTAGTTGTGGTAGTTGCTAACTTTGGTTCCTATAATAGTGGAATGCGTTGGTTTCTTATGGGTTCCACTGCTATAGGAACACTACCGCAACTATAGGTGCAAAGGAGTGAACATCTTAAGGAAAATTAATTATTTTCCGTCACTTTTGGGCATATTTTAAGTTTTAAATATGCAAATATGCTTTATTTTAGGAGAGCTACCAATGAAAAATAATCTTATCCGGGTCCTCCTCACTATTCCGGCACAACCTCCATACCGCAACTATAGGTACACGGTACACCACTATTACTGGAACACCTACCCTATGGAGATTTTCGAAAAATCTTCAATTTCTTTTCAAACCTTGTTCCTAGCGGTGAGGATATTTCTACAGTTTGTTCTTCTTAGTGACATTATGTAGAAATAATATCTCGGACAAATTGCACCATTATTGATATTTTTAATTAAAAGTAGTCAGATGCAGCTTGAAACACCTATATCTGGCGGACAAGGAATTCAATTTTATAACCACTAATGTCGTGATAAAACCTGTCAATTAACAAAATAGAGATTTTTGCACATTTTAATTTGTTTAAAAAAGCGTAATTTTTAAGTCACACAGCTGGAATTTGGAACACAGTCAAAATAATATATTTTTTCTACCCACAGCACTCTTTTAATTTAATTTCAGTGCTTATGGTATGTAACGCTTTGTAACGTATTAAAATATTGTAATGCAGATAACGTATGCTTCACACAAACACTAAAATATGATTGTAAAACACATACCCATAAAAAAATCTATTTTTATCTCGAATGGTAAGCGAACCAATGTGGGACCATGTCATTGTCATTGAAAGATTTTCACGCAATATATAACGTTTTGCACCGTCGGAGTTAATCTCAATCGGACGACAGATCACTGTTTACGTGGACGTCGATTTTTTCTTGGGTGGATTTTCCCGATAATTTTTCAGACTACAGTGCAACATCCTTTCACTGTGCATTTCCTCGGAATTTTTAAAATTATTGTTTGCGAAAAATATTCTAAGAGCTTCATCATTCGTGACGTCTCGCTGCAGAACCTAATTGACAAAATAAAATTTGACCTTGTCACTAGATGATTTTTCAAAACATATAAGCCCTCGTCAGAATATTTTTTTTTGTAAATCTTCGGTTATTTTCATGCACTTTTATTAAAAACTATTGTTAAACATGTTTGTAGGTAATAACCTAGAGGTCTGTTCGCTCCGATTAATTTCTTTAATCATTTAGCTACCTACGAAATTATGTTTTTAATAAAACATGCAAATGAACATCACTGAGTCTATTGTCGCTTATTTGACTGGTATTCCTTGATGATCCTTATCAATTCGTTATTGTGCATGACTGGGACGAAAGCTGTTGTTGCAATATTAATATGAATAAATTATATGTATTAGCACTGTATTAAAATGCTAAAAGTCATTAAGTTATTTCCACAGCTGTATGATTCTGTTTATCTTATATATAAAAATCTTTCATCCTCTGAATGGGTACACACATTTTCCAACCAGAGGGTAAATCATATTGTTTTGAATAAGACTTTTCTATTAATCATATAAAAATAATTTCTGCTAATTTTATAAATCATATTGATATTCTAGAATTGCTTGAGACTATAAAACAAATTGTGAAGGTTTTCTATGAAAATATTCATTCAGAAAGAAGTTGGTTCTTCGGAACAATCTATTGTAAGTACTACCATTACAAATATATACACAAGAAGTAAAAAACTTAAACGTACATCCACAATACATGCCATTTGTTTTGACTGCATAATATATTAGGGAAATTAGTCTTCAGAAATGTAGGAGAATGTTACGAATGTACTCAAAACGAAAATTTAATGTCACCTATAGGCGCGAAACATTACATTACCGATAAAGCAGAGTATACGTAATGTTTGCTTCGATCCGCATTGTGTGCGTTTGACTGAGTTCATCTGCCCACCATTATAGCCGTTCATCCCATGAAGTGTGCTGAACTTATTCCTACCAATCAATGCGGGTATAGTATTGCGAATCTTATGAAAAAATCCGTCGGGCGGCTACCGTAGAATTCTAATGCAGCTGTCAAAGTTCTACCGCCAGTATAAAAATGAGCTAAATATTAAAAAAAAAACATGACAAACTTGAAGTATTTTTGCAGGCAATTCTTTAAAGTATTGTTGATTGGACAGCTGCGGTGTAACTTCTTCTTTTTGTAATTAATTCGTAAAACGGAAATAAATCTCTGGAATGGCAATATAATCCATTTAATAGTATCTTGACATAATCGTATAGGCTACAAAGTACATAGTACATAGGTGTTTTATACAAATATCAAAAGGAAAACAACATAATTTAGTTGTATTTTTACCCTATTTTTACAATGTTAATTTAAATGTTTTTTATCGTATATTTTTACTGTGATCCGACGTGGTAGTACTATTGAAATAAATATACTGTATCCAAAGAAACACATTCGCTTTCTGTAAACTAAAGTCAAAAGTTAAAAGTCTATGCTGCACTATTGATAAAATTATTTGGAAAGAGAATTTTCACATGACTCCGTGGCGCAACGGTAGCGCGTCTGACTCCAGATCAGAAGGTTGCGTGTTCAAATCACGTCGGGGTCATCTGTGATACTTTTTGTCACAAGTTTTGGCCAATCATTATTGTTAGGATCATCCATAAATGACGTAGCATACTTTTGACCAATTTTAGGATCAACCCCTCCTTCACTCCCTTTCGTAGCGTAAAATGCTATGGTCAGTCACTACTTCTGAAAACCATGCACCTACCTCCCCTCATTTATGCATGTTTCCTTAGTGGTTTAGCACGCTTACCTTTGTTTTTTTTTTAAGTTTAGCGATAATCTTGGTTTTGCTAAATGTTGACTTTAAGGTGAATCGCTGTGGTTATTTCTTGCAAGGTCACCACGAAATGTTATGAGCACAAGTAGGTTACATGTCCCTAAACTGGGTCTAATAAGCAGCCACCAATTGATTTCAATCATATCACAATTGATCTGCAGACGAATCCCACAGTCACCGTGCGTACATTGTGTATTGATTTATGCTCATCATTTCCGTTAAAATTGAACACGATAAACAGTAACTAAATTTACCATTTTCACAAACTTAGATTCAATACCGGCCTACTGTCCCATCTTGGGGTCCAACAATGTATGTAACTTTGGCCATTTGAAATGAGTTGTTTTTTTTCAACTCACTGTGGGTCACTGTTATGCACAACACAATTCTTTTCATATTATTACACACTAAAAAAATCTGAATTTTACTGGTGCATGTAAACTTCCTTTTCACGTAAACTAGCAGCTTGCAAGAAATGTTGCTCAATTTATGTGCATCATAGTAACGGTAAATACATTTATTTCTGTTGATTATGATTTTACATTGGTTTATTATTTTAATTGATTAGCCTATCTGCACAGACAGGAGAGGAAGAGTGAACGATTCAGTGTATCAAAAAGTGGACAGACAGACAGACAGACAGACAGACAGACAGACAGACAGACAGACAGACAGACAGACAGACAGACAGACAGACA